TCGTCATCATCATCGATAGCATGACATCAGTGTTCAACACCGATGCTTCACCGCCGTACAACCATGATTTATTTGAAAGCCTAATTGTAAAGAAAAGAATAAAGGTGGACGGGGAAGTGACTTAGTGCTAGGTTACCACAATCATTCCTAGGTAGCTATACCACCAAATACTCATTCAGACAATCTGGATAGAAATTGACAACAAGAATGCCACTGACATCGCTTGGCAGCCATATCTTGTAGTGTCTCCAACCAGGTACAGTGAGGATCACACGGTCCCCATCCTGGAAGGCGAGTAGCACCGACAGCACCAAACGTTTCGTGATCTCCTTCATACTCCTCTGCCAAGTCAAAGGTTGGCCACCTCTCTGTTTACGGCACTCTGAGTTGGGCATGGCAAACAGCATTCTCTTCGGCAAACGATGGTCCGGCATACGCAACACGTCCCAACCATCGCAGCTTCTGGTGCTGGACACATTCTTCAATGGAAGTACCCGTTACACAACCGAAAACACGCTTTCTAACTGCCTCTTTACGGATTCGCCGACACCAACCCACACGAGCTATGGTTCTGAGACAAAGATTGTCGCACACCTGAAGCTGTCTCAGTTCCGCTGCTCGAATAGGCCAAGTCTCACAGCCATACAACAAAACAGCCCGCACTGTAGCTTGATACACACGTTCCTTCAGATTCAGGGATAGACCATTCTGACGCCATAGGTGTCTCAGATTAGCAAACGCGGTCCGAGCCTTGCAGATTCGTGCATTCACCTCATCTGTCACACTAGAATCAGAACTAATACAACCTAAATGATACGTAAAACGCTGCACAACTTCCAGTACCTCTCTCTGGATTGCAAGTGGCATGTTCAATGACTGCACGTCCACGAGCATGACCTTACACTTTGCAGGTGCAAATTGCATACCAAAGGACGGGATGAGTTTGGTCAGTTCATCCAAGAATACTTGCGCCTTCTCCTCCTCTTCGAACATGAGAACGATGTCGTCTGTGTATTCCAGATCGACAAAGTTCTCTTCAGAGGCTATTTGAACACCAGGGTTTTGGAGACCCTCCAGCGTTCGTCTCATTATTTCATCGACCACGAAGTTAAAAAGGAAAGGAGAGCGTGGGCATCCGTGACGGGCACCGCTTTGCATACGGAGGCTTTTGGAGAGCTATCCGTGAACTCTCACACATCCGGAAGTCTGAGAATACAAAGAACGCATTATGTTTACAAACTTCCGGGATATTCCCTGGTGGGCAAGGGTGTCAAGAAGAGCAGACCGATCAACCGAGTCGAATGCGCCTCGGAAATCCAAGAATACTAGAATTGTGCGTCGCTTATACGTATAGCGTTGTTCTACCACCTGAAGAAGTGTGAAGATTTAGTGTAGCTACAACTGCAACCCCGCTGAGATCAAATGGATCCAGATGGTAAATTAAAGCGTCGAAGGTTTACCTAACTTGCTCCAAATAGATTGATCACATTTAAAATATTGCTGCAGGACAATGCAAATCTGTAGCTCTACTTCGTCTTGTGTGTAACTATTTTTGATCCATTTACCCAGTAAGAGATTCCTCCTTGTTTGCCTATTATGAAATGAACACATGACATTCCGCACTGCTGAACTCCCATTTTTTTATTCCTTGTAAACTGAACTGCGGTTACTAGAGCAAGATAAATCCCCCGGTTTCTGTGGGTAAACCCGAGAGTTGAACATCTAGTCACTGTGGAAATAAAATAAGTAGTTCGACTGTAACCCCCTTCCGGTGTCTATCTGCCATGCCAGTCGAAGGAAGCACGTGGGCTGAGACCGCCCAAGCGTAGACAGGAGTAATTGGGGTGCGGAGGTCGTGTTCGAATCACGGACTTACCAGTCAGTAAACTGGCGCTTTAACCACCGAGTCATCTCGGGCTAAAAAGCCCTTTAGGCAAAACTACTGTAGACACTTTCATCATTCACTTATGCCGCGTGATCCACGGAAACCATACACATGTAACACAGTGGGCATTATTATTCGGTCATTGGAAGCGAGTGACGATTTTCTGTACGTACATTTCTCTTAGGAAGGCTTTTGAGCATTTCCCAACGTTTCAATGTTATTTCGGATGGTCTAACCTCTTTAAGAGCATCTCATTGTTTAATAGAGTGAAAAGATGTACATTACGCATTTTACTTTGTCACTGCCCTCGAGTGAGGGGGTGCAACACTGAAGTCCCCTAAGGGAATGGGGACAACCTGCGGATCAGGCAAAGACAGTGGGTGTGGTCCTTCGAGAATGAACTCTCTCTCTTACGGTGGATTGCGACTCTAAGTTGGAGAATTTTTCAGTTATCGCCACACATCGATTACTGTGCATCATAGATTTGTTGAACAGTGAACGATTACCATTACCATTATTTTTATAAGCGAATTACAAACGAATTACAAACTCGTCACTTCCTGCCCAACCCACTTTGTTTGGGACTTTTTAAACTAAGTCTTAGACCGTTCACTTATTTACAGAAATAACACGCCGAACGCAGCTGCATTCGATTCATGTAGGTGGTTTTAAAATGTTTTTATTCATTAAGTATTAGTGCCTTAACAAATCGGGTCAATAATTTGGATAAAAAATTTGATGGACTGCCATCTTCGCCTGTATACGAACCTCGGAAATTAAGTGAACATGGGACTCCAAAGTTCAATGAAAATATCACAAACACAGGATAAGTTCGACAAAAGCGTAAAAAGGAATACTTACATATTCCAGTTTACCAAGAGGATCTGAATGCCTAGTGCAAGGTGGTTGAAAAAGTGGAAATACCACATGATAGTGCTAACATTTTCAACGTCGAGCTGGACAAAGTATGGCCTTAACATTAAATATGATACTCTAGGTTTCTGATTTTTCGCGTTTTGTATGCAGCCGATTGTGAGTTGGAGGTGATGGCGAACATAACTTTGTATAAAGAACGGTCGGCAGTTCCTCAGAACGAATGCGCGGAGTTTGTAACTTCGAAAATCTGTGAACATTTCATTACATCTTGTTTTTGACCAATATGATTAGTTCTGGTGAAATCCTTTGTTAATTTAGCGCATGTAAATATCCACCAGTAAAACAACTGTGAAAGAACCCCCCTCATGATTTGCCCTTACTGAGGTGAAAACGTTGGCTAGTTCCTCCAATGTACTGGGATAATGGGCTTTGAATACCCCGATTGATTTTGCCATCCCGAATATTCGAGCCTCCATTTTTATCTCTGAGGGGAGCATGCGGTGAGTACCGTTGAGTAAAATGTCTTGGGGACCAAGGGCCTCCACTGAAGGGGTATTTTATTCCCACTTGACCTTCCGTCTTGATCAGTTTGCCGGAGCCTGTGTAACCATAGCCTTTATGATTGCTAGTTTGCAGAATATTCTCATACAGAATGAGCTCTTTCCCCGCCAAAGCATTTAGCTATTAGCACCCTTACCATAATCCGACCAGTGATTTGTTCGATTGAGGGTTTTGTCAACTTATGGTACGGCTAGCTTCGAAGTATGGTCGTTTGGGGTGAACGGAAGCGTTTGACAGTAGTGTTTAAAGAGAAGCGTTTGACAAACGTACTGCTAGGTAATACAACTGATCCGGGGAATGTCAGCATAAAACTCAGCTAACGATAAAGAATTCGTTACAACGGTCCCGCTCCCATCGAGGGAAACACAACAGCCAATTAATGTCACTTTATTCACTCTAAGTTTGGTCAGTGGTAGTGTCTACCAGGTTTGGTCTCGATGCAGGCGATCGTGCCGTTCAAATTCCACGGTAGAAGCATACGTTCGACCTATTTTCCGCTGGAAGATTCCAGAAATAGTGACATACCGACATAGGAAATTACATGCGGACACGACTCTTCGAACATATTGTAATTTTGACTGCCTTTTGACGACTACTGCATTGCCCACCGTAGGAGACTGACGCCATGTACGTCCTTTTACGGCGCTCCTCGTCACTTAGTTTTCTATATACCTTCTCCCAAGTGGACGCCAACTAATTTCTTGTTTGGTAGTGTTGTGTTCAGTTACGGCCATAAAACAGTTAGGATGAGCTGGCAGATCAGGACGATTGCGTAATACTTTTGCTCCAGCACCAAGAGTGCTACATGAACAGTTGGCCGTGTGTACTCTGTCGGATATGGGTTGTCAGGCAAACGAAACCCCATCCAACTCATTGCGCTATCGGAGTTTTGGCTAAAAACGACCCACTGACAGTAATTACAGAAACAGATGTTGCCGCACTACCAGATAATCTCTCGTCTCTGGCAGGGTTTTGCATTAAAATCAAATCCCGAAAGGATGTTTACAAAAGCTGCCTAGCCCGGGAACCAACCCTTGGTCGTCCAGCTTGCCTTCATCCTTCTCTCCCTCTATCTCTACTTATGGTTGCGCGGTGATGTGAAAGCTAATTTTCCGGTCTTTCTCGTCTGCAAACACTGACTTCATGTACTGAATGGATTAAAGCCTACTAGACATTCAAGCATCCCGCTTCATTATTGACATTTCTGAAGGCTACCTTTTGCCGCTACCGGTGTCGTACTTTCTAATAAGCCCGTAGGCGTAGGCGTGCGTCACACGAATCCTATAGGTACTCCGCACCTCACTGGGTGTGCCCGTTTCGTGGCTTTGACAACTGTACATCACCGACCAAATAGATGCTTTTTTCAGACTTTTGATGTGTTTGTTTGCTCTGCGACGTGCTGTGACAGGCGACCTCCACTTGTACGTTGGTTGCATCTATGGTCCGCTCCATCCTTCATGGACAGGTCACTCATGCGTATGACTCATCTTTCAGCGGTCTTTTTAGGCTGTCAGTCTACTTCCTTGACCGGCTTCCGCACATTCTTGTGGTCGGCCCACAAACGATCAGAGTACGTCTGACGTTGTCAATTTTTTGTTCTTCTAAAACTGTGTGCACTTTACTTTGACTGGTCCGTCAGCATTACATACCCCTACATGTTGCAATAACCAATTTGTAGATGGTGTCATCGAATATTCAATTCCTGAAGGAGATGTCTACCGTATGGACCCGCGGCATCACGTTTCGTTGAACGATACAAGTTACGATGGGTCCTGGATCATTCCGCCTACAACATCGAATAGTCCGGAATCTATTACAAGCCGGCGTGCTTATTTCTACGGAGGAATCGGGTTGCTAATGGATAAGCAATATTACGAAGGATCTCTCCCCGAAGCGGTTGACAATCACAACGTCGTCGGTTGGTTTCGGCGCCAGCATTCCAGGCCATCTGAGCATATCATGATGCTATTTTGCTTCGATCAAGGTATGGTATTTCGCGTCATTTTCCTCAAGGCCTTGTAAGCTATATACCTCACCAATTATTTCATACTCACCGTTTAGTCAGCGGTTTCACTCAATGTGATGTAGTCTGGATCCGCCTCGTCCGTGGCTTAGACCTATCGGTTTGCGGCTTGAGCCGTACCTTCGGCTCTGATTGGTCTGAACTGTTGTTTGTACCTAACCCCATTTAATTTGACAACTAGTTGCTGTAGCTTGTTGCAAGCACGATTTCCGTCCGTTTCATGATACCTTGTCAGCCCTCCCATTCATCTCTAGATTGTCCTGGCTCACTGGTATCAGTGACATTCGTAGTAGGTTTGTTTTGATCCTCAAAACAAGCTCACTCTTGTCTTTTGAACACACGAAGCTCCACACTTCACTACGTTCCTTTCTCCACATGTTCCGGTGATAAGCTGAGTAAACATGTTCATCTTTACGAACATTTGGCGGCGACATGAATGTAAACAAGTGTTAAATGAATGGTCATTTGATGGAGTGATCGTGAGTGTGACTTATCGTTGGGTCGCGTGCAAAACTAAGTAAACGAAGCCAACTCTGCGAGGAGATTGTTTTCCGGACTGGAGTTTGCTGAAAAACCTAAAATTGCCTGGATATTTCTTCTAGTAACCACAGTGCTTGTGAGTGGGTCAAGTCTACTGACCCTTAACATGAAAGCGTTCCTCTGTCACTTGTCATTCAAAGACGACAGGCCACAGCGTATCCAGAATGCACTGTCTTTATGCTTATACCCCTGAGTGTGGAGACCACATCTGTTCCGATCTTCTTCCGTGACTTTTGCAACTGGTAAGGTTTTTCCCTAGACTTATCGTGCTCAGGTCTGGTGATGGATTCAATCTGATTTTGTTCAGACGGCTTACATGACCACACTTTCCTCCGTTCATTTCAGTTCGTAACTTTACTGAGCTCCGAATTCACGCTTTGAACTCACTACACTACGTAGCGCTGTTTCGCCGTGCCCTTATCCAGTTCAGTATTGGCGGTCGTTATTATGATCGGAAATCTGCGGCTATTCTCTATGAGAGTCGACGCGATACACAACACAGACAAGCTCGTTGGGTTTCCATACCATTGGACCATCGAATCGGTCGGTTTGTTCGCATAACGCTCTGGTTCGACTATGACTGGATCGTCCTCTCGGAGATTACTTTTGATTCTGGTGAGCATTCTGTTTCCTGAAGCCTATTGTGGGCTCTTAATGGTGTCTTCTTATCACTCCGGAACACGCAAATGTACTGACTAAATGTCCTAACTTTACAACCTAGCATATGGTGCTCGCTGGTAGGTCGAATTTACGGACGCAGCTGGTCTTCGAGATCACTTAAAAAGGTCGGTTGTTTCGTGAGCTAACTATGTTTGGTTGAGGTGAGTGAGATTGATAACAAATAACAACAGGGATGTTCGAACAGAGTTCAATTTTCCCATACTGTCCTTGGCGTCAGATTTTTCAGTACCGAGTGTATTCAGAACTCGTTACCGTTAAATTTTGTGGTTACCCAAGGTACTTTTATAAGTGATGAACTGAACTGATCGGAATATTTGTACAGAGAACAAACAGGGGAATTTGTTGGAACTGGATGTGTGCCATGGTGGAGATTGGCACAAAACGCATACCGAAAGAACGCCTACTAAACAGCCTCATTTAGAGCACATATTGAAGGTCATGCACTGACACGGCTGGTATGGACCAGTCGATAGGCGCAATAGTTGTTGAAATCACACTAACCGGTCACTCATGAGTGATCACACTCATCTTACAGCGTAATCAACGTTAATAAACGCAGGTGATCTGGATTTCAGAGATTGACACTGCACACCAATTTCGGTGGTTGCGTATGTTTGCCAAGCCTGGTGAATTAGGCTTGGCGTACCTGCAGTTTACGAAATGTTCCTCCTGTTGTTGATTTGAACCACGAACCCATTGTAGGCTAAAGGAATTTGCAGCAGCGGCCCTATGTTTTGCTGACGTATGCTACCCGACACCTTTATTTACTATTCTCCTCATCTCTGCGAGTAATAACCCCTTTTGTATGATTCCCGCACTTCAGGAGGTAGCGGACAACAGGAGGCTTCAACAGGTTGGGGAACGATAACTCCCGAGACGACAGTCGACATAACCCAACTCCGTATTGATTGCTCTGTGTATACGAACAGATTTCTGTTGAATTTCCTCTTCACGAAAAGCCACCCAATAACTTTCTCTTTAAATCCCTTCATTTTTGCTATTTCTGTTCAGCACACCACCTATTTGTCGGTGTGGTGGTGCAGTCAACACCTTATCTATCGGATTGGAGATCCTCATGTGTGAATCTTTGTTTGACAGTAAACAACAATCGCGATGATTGTTTGCATTTCGTGCCAGAACAATGTCCATAAGTCTTTTTTGTATGCTTGAACACGAAACTACAGGTGTATTTCGGTAAAAACGTGGTTCAGGTGAATTGGAGCTGGCTGTCCTGTCGATACCAACTTGATTTTCGTATATATATATATATATATATATATATATCATCTAGCACCAGGTGACTAATCACTGATCCATGTTTTGCTTTTAATCCTAATTAGTCTGGCTACTTCCACGTACGCTAGTTTCCTTTCTCATTTGGCTGGAAACATCCATCTTGTGGTGTTGCGTGTTCCGAAGGTAGCTAGTGCCCTAGTAACTAATCTCCCTGTTACCACTTTCAACCTTGACGTGGCGACACAATAAATGATGTAGGCAATTAGCTGGATAGAACAATTGTCCCTAGTTTTCGACTGGATTTATGATTGTTTCCGCTCCATTAAACTCTATCCATCCACAAAATATCCATTCCATTTCCAAACCTCCAATTCAAAGGCTATGTTGCTGGCGTATCGTTTCATATGTTGTTCTCTCTGAATTCTGATTCAAGTAGATGCTTTGTTTTCGCATTCACCCGTGCCCTGTGTGCCCTACTTGTCCCTGTCATTATCCTGGCTGACTGCGGAATTGCTATCACCAGAGCAAACTGACTCTTTAATTAGCGTTTCGGAGACTAGCATGCTTGCTGATCACCACCCAGCGTCATCTGGGATAGTGAACAGAGAAAATGCACACACATATACACACGCACCCGCATGAGCGATAGATGCTTGTTTTTGTATTGTTAACCAACCGACGACAAATAAACCGATGACAAATAAACGATGAACCGAATATTGGTCCCAAAGTGCTGAAGTCGCATTTTCAACGGCAAGCTTTATCTCTCGCCCATGTCGAATGTGATATAGTCTGGTGCGTGTGTGCAATCCTCCAGGCGACTTCAAGCTTTGTGGGAATGATAACGTCCGATTCCGAGGCAGATGGCTTCATGAATTTTTCATCTCTATATTTATTGAAGGCTGTGCCTGTGTGCATATGACTGACTCATCCTAATAAGATCGTTGTAGCCTCAGTGCACCAATGGCGATTCTCATTGTTTTCATAGTCTGTGGACAGTCTAAGTTGAAACTTTCAATAGAAGTTTGTTGTACACTTCTTTTGGACAAACCTAATTTTCATGCGATTTGTCATTCCGATTCGAACGTTACAATTCGTATTAGCTTGGGTCACTACCCTACCCCATTTGTGACTTGAAACCTTTCAGGCTCTGAAGATACGATGGGTAATGAGGAAAGCACATCCTAAATCAGGGAAGCCGGTTCACCTTGTGCACTCTACCCCAAATTTAGCTTTCACTATTGGGTTCTGTCGATCAAGGTTTCGAGCTTCAAAGGCATATCGAAACAATGCGGCCAGTAGTGGGAGTACTAGTGGTCAAGAATATTGTTATTTGAAAATTTGGACGCCAGAAGTAAAGTACCAGTGAATATAGCATACATATATAAAGCTGGGTAGATATGCTCTGATTTTCATCGTTTGTCACATCCTAACGCGGAGTCACTAAGGTATCGCTTTCAATAGACATCCCAGCAATGAGGTTTGTGAAGAGATAGCTACCATATGAATGAGACTAATTGCCCTAATTTGTCCAAAAAACCCTAAAGGTTTATCTTATCCGGATTCAAAGGCCTAATTTTGCGGGCTCTTCAAACCAAATTTACGAGAACGACGGAATGCTGTCGTTCTCATAGAGGGGTTGGCATGTTTACTTAAAATACTTTTCGGCTTGATCAAGAAATTCCTTCTCATTTTGAAGCAGCGTTCCCGAGAAGAAATTGATCACTCCCATGGAAAATGCCTATGGGAATTCGTGAAAAAAAAACATTTGAATCCAATGCAGTTGTGTTACGAAAGAGAAACGGAATGTTATATATTCAGAAGATTTAGGCCTCAGTATAATACATCTAGATGTGTGTGTGGGGGGGAGAGTCGATGGTATTCCGGTGAGCGCATGCATTGTGGTGAGACTACTTCGTTGGGTCCTCTTTTTACTGGAAAATCTCTTACCAGAAGTAACTCGATGTATATAATCTTCAGGATTCAGACCCCGCATTACCTGGCAACTGGCGTTTGTTCAAAAAGTTGGAAACTCAGTCGAGACACAACGAAGCCGCCGTTTACCAGCCCTTTTTACTCGTGATATACCCACTTGATTACTGGTGTTACATGAATCTTTGTGGCCTTAATTGATGCCTGTTTGGTTGAAAGTCTGCGTGCCTTTGATGCAAAACAAGCTATTTCACCTGCCCTTGCAAAGGGTCAACTGGGAACTAACGCCATTCGTCGTTGGGTATGCTGTCAGCTAATTAGTTTAGGGCGATGTTGTGTCTGGAGGTCGTTGTCCGGCGGTACGTCGCCCCGGGTAACCAGACAAACACACTTGGTTCGTCGATGGTGCTCGGTTTTGTGCGTTGATCGTTCTGTTTATCCGAAACCGTGGTAATCGCATTCGCACCAGTGTTTCGATGTAAAAATGATGGGCTCGGTGTTTACTTGACCTTGTCTTCGTGGTCATGAAACTTGACTGAAGGTGCTTTGTAGGACAATACTGATTCTGGGCGTTGTGGAAAAATTACATGCTCAGCTTGTTTTTTTCCACCTCAGATTAGGCACTGGTCAGTGGGAAACGACCATTTTTCACGTAGATGTTAGGTATTTTTCAACCAGAAATCTCATCGTATCAAAATCGCTCTAACATGTACATATGTGCTACACTTTGGACTTTGGTAGCGTCTCAGTTTGTGTTTTATCGGATTTCTTGTCAGCCGATAACTTTGTGCTCGAATCGGTAGAACTGAAAAACCCTAGGACAATATAAATGCTTAACCCTCTCTAGAGGACCCCTCTAACGGACCTACCAGAGCATATGGTACTCCTCTCATGACTGAAGATGGAAAGCTCCCCCATCCAAGTCATCCATAACAGTATTCCGTGGGGTGGTAAAATCATATTTCACGAGTTTGACGGAGTCATCAAGTAGACTGTCCACCTTATGGACTCACTGATTGATTACGGAGAACCACATATTTCTGTCATAGGTAGAATTATTCCAAACTCGTCAGTTTGGTCATGTAATACATGTAGGTAGCCGGAGAATAATCCAGGTCCACTTGGTCTTAGAAATGCTCTTTGTGGCAGGTCCCCCTCAAATTCGATTTACTATCACTTCATTTTCTTGTGAGTGGTTGGGGATGTTAGAGGTCACACGCAGACTTTGATGTTGTATGATTTTTTTCTCGGATGCCCAGCAACTTCTCAACATATCTACTCGGTATTAAGTGTGCATATACTGGCCTACATTAACTGTGAAAACAATTCCTGTCTGCACCAACGCGATGCAAGGCCCAGAATGTTGGATGGTGATCACCTGTTCCTACAAGCGTGTCCTCTGCTGAACAGTGAGACTAGATTAAACGTGTTTCAACATGAACCTGTCACATCGGGTAGTCGAAATCACTGACGCGTGACACTTGCGCGACCATAGGGTGAATACAAACCGCTTGTGACTGCGACGCACCTGTCACAGATAGGGTTGACAGCGTTTGGTATACCAGCATCAGATGCCTGGATTAACCCTGACGTCCACCTGTAGCTGTCGTTTTCCATGGACATGTCGCCTGCGTGCATGCTCATCGCGCAGAACTCCGTCTACCGTACAAACTCCATTAGGACAAGACTGCTGAATGTCTGCTCATAAGTAGCCTTTTTCTGTGGTAAAGCTCCGGTTGCCTCAAGTTGTATCTTGTCGTTTGCCGTTTGTAGGCACTCCGGCAAATGAATGCACGCTCACATCACTCTTGGTCGAACAGTCGCCAACCTATCCCGGCGCGATAATTCTGGTGAATCCACACGAAACAGGACTGGAGTTTCACTGCTATTAGAGCATGTTATCCTTGGGCTTTGAAATTCACACATCTGACATCCGGGGCTAGCGTGTCACCACTACTCCGCGACGCGTGTTCTATATTTCAAGTCCATGTTCAAGTTTCGGTGGTAGGAGTTGTAGTCTAGCGCACCGAACAACCCCATAAATTAGTGTTTTATGTTAAAATGGCACCAGGATTTTGGATTCGGAATAAAGATCGAACCTCCATGATACTCATTATTAACTTCTGTGATCCACAATGGAATTGATCCCGTTTCTTCTGCATCCTTTGTTCTTTGTCGGAGGGTCTGCCCTCTCGTTTGAATTCTTCTCCGTAGTCACATTCTACAGAAGACAGAATTGTGGACCCAAATGACGTTGCATTTGACTCGTATTCAATTGATTGTAGGAATGCTTGAAAGACTGCCCACGGCAACCGAAACGTCGGACTACACCTTATTCCATCATGCTGTGTTTGGACTTTAATAAATTACATAGGATTACACTATAAGCAGATCCCTTGAGAGTAGTGCAGGCGTGTGAACTGGATTTGTTTTCAATATTCCTTCCACTCCACATCGTCCTCTGGAAAAAGTAAAAATACTCTTCCATTTGCGACCCTATCTGCTCTGGGTTTGTTTTCCAATCAAGCCACGAATCTTTCAAACTCGAAGATTTGTGATTTCAAAGTGTAAATGAAGGGTGAAGATGAAATGATGAGGCATGTTTGATTTAGATCCAAGGATTTCCGAACAACAACTGCTCNCCGAACACTGGTTTCATGCATTCAGATAACTTAATTTAGCGTTGAGCACACATTTGGATTACTTTCGGGACCTCATTGATTCTTCCGGACTCTGGTTTTCATATCAAGATATTCCAGGATTGTGCACAAACACCACAGTTCTCGAGTGTTGGTCTTTCACGTTTCTAAGCCGCTTACGGTTAACATTGGCAACGGCATCCTTGCAGTTAGTGGCGCAACTGTGTATACCACTAATGCAATTAGTACATTGTTCATTGGCCGGGCTCCGCCCCCTTATCTGACCGAACATGAGTCAGTATAGAAATAATGGAACCGCTTTACAATGTTCGTTTACTGTTGGTTACTGTTCAGAGAGCGTTGAGGAAAGTTGGGAATGTCCACTTTTCGAAAACTCTGTGCAGTTGAGATGTTTACTTTCGTGTCTAGTAGCCTGTAACTGCTTGGTTCATGTCTGCTGATAGATAACCTCTCAGCGAGGGATATTCCTCCTTCCAGTGGCAGCCGGATTTTTGAATTTCGCACATATAATTTCCATGCTGGGAAACTATACCCTACTGGCATCCTGTTGTTAGAGCGAAGTTCAAGCACTGGTTTGTAATTGTTGTCCAGACGGCCATATTTTCGATGCGCTTTGTTCTCCGTAGATGTCTTCTGTATACTGAGCAATTGGGTTCATTTCGTTTAATGAACAAAACGATGACACCTGTAAATTCCCTAGAAATGATTTTTGGTCTAGCTAGCAGTCGATTTGGTCAGGTGACTTTAGTAGATTCTTCGTCCCGAGTGAACGCCGAACCCCGAAATGAAACCGTGGGAATCGAACTTTGACGGTAGACTTATCATCCTTTCTGAAAACTTCAGTCTTTCCGGGTGGACAAGCCTTGTGACAGCTTTTCTATTGCATTTTTTTACTTGCATAAGGTTGTCCTTATTTTTTCCTTCCAACTGTTCACTTGAAAATCACTCCATGCCTCACTAATGTACAACTTAATACTGCTTCACATATGTGTTGTTTTTGGTGGCGTCAAAACACCACTCTTTTACAACACTTCCCCCTTCAGTCCCTGTATCCAGCTCGATGGTATCTGCAGTTGAAAAGTTATCAGATCCGGTGATGAAGCTTTCTGATGTGGATCTGAATCAACTGGACGAGGAGCACCTGCCTTGGTCAAACTTTGACTATTCCGTTGAAGAACGGAATGAACCGCAGAATGGTAGCACCGGTCGAGCGGCCTTGGATTCTCTGTTACCGCCAACAGGGTCTTTAGCTCCTCAAATTTCACTAGGTAAGAAGCTATTTTGTCGTTAAACTGGTGTATTTTCTCCCCGTTTCATCCCATCTAAGACAACAAATCCAGCTGTGCTCCATTTTTTGTGTGGACGCGCAGACCCATAAGTACGTGGAAATAGTGAATCATTTTAGTTAGTACAAACGATTGATGCCTGTCGGCCCAGTTTTAGAATGGAACACTAGTTGAACGATCTGTCTAAGAAAGGGTGTTTCCCTTTGTCTCTCCATATATGTATAGGCTGGAATCACAATGTAACCGATAGACTGTTGATTCATGATGACGTTTCGTTTCTTTCAGCTGCTCACTAGTGTTTTAGACTTCTCATCTTTTCTGAAATGGTACACCTGTATCTGGGTACGTAACATTCGAGTCGATAAGCTAATTACATTTCGACATCGTTTTGTTTGATTGGAAGCACAGTTTTTTATTTGCTCTCCTCACAGGCAATTCGGAAATATTCCCGTTTTTCCTTGTTACTTGTCCAAAATGTCGGTTATGCGCAGTTTCGATTTTACGATGATTGGGGTTTCCTTGTATTGCAATAATAAGTTGTAGATTACGCAACATATCTTAAAGAAAGCAGATTCACGAACCAAGCAAAGTGGTTTTCAAACTCGACAGTAAATTTCCCTACTGCATTTGTAAAATCAGTGTACCAAATAAACTCAATCGTCAGTTACGGGCATTTCCATCTGGGCTGTTGCACACGGTTGGCCAAAAGTCGCTGTCGAAACAGAGTTTCAGAAGAAAGCTTCATCTCGATATGATTTATCAATAAATATGCACGTACGTTTTCAAAAATCACGCTAAAAATTTCGGAGTAAATTAGAACCACGTACCGAGAGTGAGTAGTTCGTGATAGATTGTGGATTTAGACCAGTTAATTTGTGAAAAAAATATTCAACTGACAAGTTGGTTTTGAATTTAGAGGCAATTTGAGGTTTTGGATCATGAACCACATACCATATGGTGCGTTTAATTCATTTTTATTCTTATGGGGCATGTTTTAACGATTTCACGGGTGGCGTACCTTATCGTTCGTTTTAACAATCTCCCTTGCCAACTCATCATTCTGCGGATGAATAACAAATCACAGGTCATTCATGTCTTTCTCATAGTGACGGCAACAAAACAAAAACAGACAGTTCTCCTCATAACAGAATTTCTAGATAAAACTGATTTATTCATTACATGAATACATAAAACAGATACATGTAAGAAAAATTAAAAAACAGTGCATAGCATAGAGACTTGAGACATCTGTGAAAACTCGTTGGTTAGTTTGACACCAAATTTTGTCCTTTGGGTACTTAGTTCGGTAACCACGTGAGTGAACTACTCTGGGCGACAAGGTGGTTGTGTTTCCTCAGCCTGTCATTCCAGTTAGTGTAAACTTCCCACGACCCAACTTTACTTTCGCAAACTACTCATAGGTGTTTTCCCCCAAGAGACTGTGCTCTTCACCGACTAACCTCAATGCCTGAGCAGCATCCAACCATGATTTCATCGACGTGGTCGGAAACAACGTCAATACGTAAACGGCCACTATTTTCGTGCAGGAGGACAACTGTGGGCTCATTGCAGACCTCTGCTCCTATCTGCCTCCGCTTATAATGGGTTAATATGATGGCGGGACGTAAGCATGGGTTATCCTGCGTAGGGTACTAATATCTGACAAGCTAGATGTTCAAGATGCGCAAGTTTCTACCTGCCCAACTTGACCTTTTACTAATAGGTCGTCTGAATATAAGAGACTTTTTACCCGATAGACTTTCGTCAAGACTTGAGGTAAAATGGATTCGCCCTGAAGACTGTGTGCTCGATTTCCGTTTGCATTCTAAGTTTACCAAGTGTTTCTGCGTTGTGCAGCTTTCCACTCTGGATTTACTGTTTTCCAGCCCATTCTTATCAATGTTTACTTTTCACTTTTTGCGCCCTCTAGATCCACCACCGCTGGCGCAAACACAGCCAGTCAGACATCGAAATATTGTGGCTGATAATCCCGTGAATTCGGTTGCAAAAGGTCGCTCTTCGAACATCCCCTATATTATCGCTATATTATGCTGTTGTCTCGGTTCAGTCGCATTTGCCACTTTGTTCGGATTCATGCTCTACCGTCTTCGTAGGCATCGCCACCGACGTCTGAAAAAGTCCCATAAAAACCAGTTACAGTCTATCGACGGCACGAAGCATCAACTTCCGTTGCTCCTAGCAAGTTCACACCATACGCCAAACAACGTTTATCCGCCTGGAACAAGTACTTCTACACTGATTGCTGATCCTTCGCTCCAGTCCATGCTTGCTAGCCCCCTACAGTATAAGAATGCGCCCTCCGGAACAATGAAACCGGACAGTACCATGTTCGGAATCCCTTACAACACCACGGGACTCTTTCCTCCGGGCAGCGTAACTTTATCGCATCCGTTGCCAGATTCTATCGCCTCACAGCACTATGCGGCGTTCGCTCCGGGATTAGACCAAGGTGAATATGACTGTGTGAACGTTTAGCTTTTCCTGTGTTTTCCCGTACAGTATTCCTGGTCAAATTTCCATCAGCCGAAATGATTTTGTCCCTGAACTCAGGTACCGTCATGTGCAACATCAATTCTATTACCGGTTTTTAAAAGACTATAAGTAATCGGTAACTAGATGTGTTAAACTCCGTATGGGTCACCAGTTTTGTTTAATACGCGCTTTGTGGACGGATTCGATCGGTAATGCATCAAGGTTATTGGTGTCGTGTTCGTAGTCGTTATCACAAATCAGTGGTGAGTTTGGCTGATCTATACAACGGCTCCTGGAGGATCAGTTAAAGGGTACGCCACGAGTCGTCCTCATCCTTGACGTTGAAACATACCATTTGCATTCATAGGAACGCTGGCGTAAGCACTTGGTGCATTCAAACGAAATTCGCTGGATCAGAAATCTCCGTCATAAATTTGTCGCCCGATTCTTCTCGGTATGCTCCCGAGAAAACGGAAGGATTCCAGCAAATTAATCACAGAAACTCAAAACGGAATTTTCTGAGTGTCGTAGGTAACTGTGACAGACATCTAGAATATAGGGTTCCTCAATTTGTGATTGTGGATCGGGCGTGTTCGGCATGTCCGCAAGTTTCGATGTAAAGTTCCAGCTTCATCGTCCCCGAGTCTCCAAAATTATGCTCTGTGTGTTAATTACTTTCATAAGTATCAACCGACTGTGGTTGTGTTGAATTTAGAGATGTGGTCGTCCGACAGGCTAAGCAAATGTGGCAACTCACTACTCCACCAGCTTGCCGAACACCTGAGCGGGATAGGTCGGTCTCGATAACGCGCCTAAATGGAGTCTTCTTTTTATCTTTTAGTCGGAATAGATAGAGTGTAGTAGTAGAGTGTGATGTGCGCTAAACTCAGCAAGCCTTACCGCGTCAAGAGTAAATTAATGACAAACAATAGGCATCGGAATCCCATAGACTAAGGTCTAACCACCCCAAGCCAAAATGATAAGGACTCATGAAGTCGTCTTTCCCATCTTTTAAGCACTGTGTTGACAGAATAACCAGGGTATGCACAGTTCTTAAGTGGCCGCGCTCATTTTGAAGACTATTATTTGTGGCATCGATGATTAGTGACCGCTTTCAGTGTGAAATCGCCTGTCATAGGACTCTCGTTTCCCTCCTAAAGGATGGGCATAGGGTAAAATATGGAGGTTTTCTCTTCATTAGGAGAATGCTGCTTCTCTAGATGTATTTTGCATCGAAAGCGAAAGTTGATCTTCAAGTATGATCTGTGAGTACCAGGAGCGATATCATCCCTGTTAGATCAATGCAGCATGTAGGTGGCAAGTTGTGTTTTCAACGATCTTTACTACCCGTCAGAAGTAAACAAAAAATAGTTTCGTATGATTTTCGAAGTTTTACAGTTATGGCCTTCAAAACGGATTAGATACCAGTCGTTTGTTTTGACATCCAACCAGAATATCCGTTTGCTCTGATACAATCAACCGAATCTTTGAATAAAATGATGCCTAACTGTTCGCTCCAAAAAAGATTCATCCAGTTATTACCTCAATGAATCCAACGGGCTTGTTTTATTCTGAACAGGACTCATGCCTGTGTATGGAAGCGTAAAATTCAGTGTTCGGAATGATATTGGATTGCACTGTGGATTCATTGACGAGGAGCTCGAACATGTGTGGAGTGAGCTGGATTCGCATGCTCCCTCTTCATAGCCACATCGTTCGCAAACACATTCAAATAAGCGGATTCGCTTCATGCTCGACTTTGTTCGAAACGCAACTTGATTTGAAAATGATATCTCTAAACAGAAAATATTTTACGTTTCACACTCCATCCTTTCGTGACTGAAACTTACTTCCATGACTTAGTTACATTCTACTTAGAACAAGAGTGGTTGCTAAAATTGTATTTTGTGATTGGTTGTGATGCCCGATACATCGCAATTACTCTGAAACGTGTCCGAAATTATGGGTATATTTGAAAACGGTGTAAATGAGTGATACAATGGTGAAAGGACCACAGAGTCAAATTGATTATATTATGGCCGAACCACGTAGAACTAATAAAAACAGTCGCACTGACTGTTTGCTCATTGTAAACGCTGTGATAAACAATCCAAAGACACGACCACTTGCATACCATGTTCCCCAGGCTGGCGACTGAGCACGTCTCCAGGGCGTGATGATAACCACTCAACGGCGGAAGCTTCCTGTGCACGTGACCTGAGGTTTTGATACACACCGATTGGTGACGCCGCCTTGCCAACGTGTGTCGTGAGGTCAGGAACAGTTGTCCGCGACATAGATCGTGAATGATAAATTATGAGACACACATCAGCTGACAACGGGTGATGGTCATCTGTCCCAGTCATCGTGAGACAATAGTGATTAGAAGCTAATGATGCCACGACCAGACAACCGGCCTTAGCGATGATCCACTGAATAGTTGCTTTACGTCTTGCGCCACCAATATGGTGGCCGTCTTGACAGGTGAGACCAGCATGACTAGCCCTTATACAGACGACTGCGTTACTGGTGGGTTCCTTGAGTAATCAGTTAAACCTCTGTCAGTTATTAGGTTCGTGTGAGATGTCAGTAATCCATCTCTGATGCCAGGGGATGTAAACACAGGAATGCGCAACGCTTGATTTACCGAAAGGCAATGCTTACTGAATTCGGGCAGGATGCCTTCACTACGCATCTGGAGTATCGAGCTAAATACAGTTCTTCGGCGGGGGACAAACATCTGTAGTCCATTTTAGAAAGCAGTCCTCTGTTATCACATTAGGGTAGTCCCAAAGGGTGTGTCGCACAAAGATCGCCTCATGTTTCATTCAAGATGTTGAAATGTTTCGCTTTACCCAGCATTGCGTACACTGTTACCGGAAACTATCGGTCAGCCACTACCGGTTTCTTTCTTCTTGGAGCTTATCAGAGCTTCCCATTTGAGTTTCCTGCGTTGAGTTATACAATTAGTCACGGACTAAAATGCTGTTAGCAGTGACCCAACTGAATGGCTATTTCGTTCTATTCTCCATCCAACTGTACTGCTTATGTACAGTGGAATATTGCTGCTCAAATCAGTGTATCACTGATTCATTGACTCTTTAGTATTTAGCATTCCATGAGTATGTTTTCAACAAATTCAATAAATTTTGAATGGGGAATGCAACTTGTTGCTAATATTTTCGGAAACACGAGTAGTGTATGAGGTGCAAAAGTAGTAGTACAAATTCTTCTTGGTTTGATGATAGATTCAGCAGACTGATAATTGAAATTTATGATCTACAGGTCTGCGTTTGGTTATCAGCCGGTGTAGGATGTTTGGTAGGAAATGTGAAACGGTACAAGGAGATCAGTGAGTCATCAGTGTGTACTATTTGTGAGGCCGTCGTTGTTTTCAGCATTCAATGAATAAGAATGCTTCCTTTAAGGGGCTTTCCATGGTTTCTGTCAAACCAGAAATTTTCTTGACTTTTCTGCACAGTTTTTAGGTGGTTGGAGCCGTTCCCCATCTTTAAAACTTCACAACTGTGTTGTAGACGTTAGAAACTGTAGCTTTTCTGTAATTTGGAAATCGTTCTCTGGAACGTACAATAATTTGTTCACTCTCTCAAAAAATGTCCCTTTGAGCGTAACTCACGCTTTAACAAACAGCAGGTTTCGTTTTACAAGCCCAGTCAATATAGTTTATTGAGGCCTTTCACCGACACGGTGATCGGTGATCGGGCCATTTTATCACTCTCTCACGTACCGATTGTGTCGTATACTATCAGTTTTCCCGATATCTACATCAGTGGCCACTGTACCAGGGTATATCACTTTGGCGTAATACATTCATACGCAAACTAAGTAAGTTTTAATACAGACTCAACTGAATGCATTCGATTTTCATTGACGATGCCCTTCAGTTGGATATAGTGCACAAATGCTTTCTCATTTGTACTGTTTCGTCAAGAAACTATCAGTTTGGGTTCTTTATTCATGTTCCAACCTAGTTTTTTCTCACACAGTCATGGAAACCTACCCGCGTAGTCAACTAGTGGTTCACCGAAAATTCTGTTCTGCCCTTCATTACGCACTTTGTTTCATGTCAGTCATTCATACTTCTGATGATTACATGCTTTTAATTGAGTTGATGATCAGTATCGTTCTTTATGAGTTTTTCTCCGCCTTTGTGCTGCTACATTATATTCAGCATGTGTACGAGGAAATGATTCTCAGGCATAATGAACACATGCACTTAAAGACAGTCAAAAGTATTGAAAACGACCAGGACACCGCAAACACATCGTGGTGTGCTGTAGGGGGACACATGTGAATTTCTCTATGCTTGATAACTACTCAAAACATCTTTTTTACAGTAGGCTGATTGCAGAAGAGATCATCACGTTAGCTTTTTTCATGCTATCGTTGAATCCGACGGACTAATTTAGTAGGCTTACATGGTTCACCACCTATAGAGGTTCCCGTCAAGGTTTGATCTGTGCTCACGGCTATTCTAATGAGACGCCTCGTCCAGTTCTGTTCATCGTTATAGGTATACTTATATTCTTGGCCGACTTCTTTATTTATCCTTAGCGATCAAGCACGCCGCTTCTGTATTTGGGCGAGTAATGAGTGGTATCCTGGCCATTTGAATGGTCTTCTGTGTATTCCGTGTCCAGTTCGTGGGCTTCCGGACAGCCGAATTTAGGGAATGAATCATTACCGTATTAGATACTTTCATGGATCCATTATGAAGAATTACGATTTGATGCTTACTAGATCCTTGGCAATAGCTCAAAGGATTATTTCAGGACCATCTGTTTATTGTCAATGTGTGCCGCGGTGCTTACTCGATTGAGTTATTAAAACACCGTCTACTGAAGTCAAATATTGAGGTGAGGATGTATCACAAGGGCCCGTGTACTAATCTGTTATAGTAAGTTGCACACGGCCAATTTTCAGCGTGAGTAAGGCAGCGTTTGAGTGATGCATATC